AGAACAGAGGAAAATATAATAATGTAAAACAAAAATAATTTTAAATGTTAATTGCTCACTGAAAAACACCCAAAATATATACCCAACCAATTTAGAACAGATAATTACTTAGGCATTTGGTAGGTCTCAAGACTTTAATATAAGTTAAATCTTTCTATATTACTTTTAGAGCTATAACTGATTCAATATGCAAATTTTAAATGCTAAAAATAACATTTAAACATATCTTGCAAAAGGAAAAAATCCTAAAAATGTCTTTGAGAGTTTCATATGGTACAATGAAATATCACAAAAAAATTGTATTTATTTAAGAATGGAAAAGTTCTCTAAAAGTGAAAATACTTACTAATTCCATTGTAATAAGAAATCTAAACATTTTAAAGCTACAATTGGCTACATTTGTTTGATAGTATTTAATATGTTCTCCATAATCTCAGAAGCACCATTAAACTAATGTTTCTTGAGACACCCTTTCCATAATGCATTTGAAAAATTTCCATCTGTTAATAGTGTATATCAGGGTTCATAGAAGTCTAGTAGTGTTGTCCACAGGAACTGTAATCACTGGCAGCAACTTCCTGTTCTGTCCCATGTGGTGGCCCCATTTTAAAGCAGTCATTGAACAGCTGAAATCTTTTTAACAACACCAAAGAAGTGAGTTTTAAAATATTTAACTCATCTCCCCCTTTCTCTCCTGTCTTCTTTCTTTTCTTCATGTAGCATGTGGTACTCTATTAGAAGTACAGTCCTAATACAAATACCCTTAACTCATGACTATCACAGAGATACCTACTTTTATCCTCATTATTTATCTTAAGATTTCAGACAACCCATTGAAGCAAGAATTTTCAAAAATAAGAAGAGTTTAACAGTTCTATTTTTTATTCAAATAACAAGGCATAGAAACAAATTTAGGAAGGATGCAAGGTTTTCTAATGATTATGTGACTCACAATGTTGTTACTTCCATTGGTGAAGAAACACTGATGATTCATTAAAACAGCACCAATACGATTGGTTATCTCTTTGGAAATGGACATGAGTAGTGCACATATAGCATATTTTTAGAATGGAAATATCAACAAGAACCAGAGTTGTAAAGCTTTTACCATTGTTAAAAGTACCAACTCAAAACATATCTGTGTGCTAGGAACTAGTCCCAGAAACCCAACTTCATTCTGAGGATACAGTGGTAATTAAATCAATGCCACTTCTTCCTTCATGACACTAACATTTAGTTTACTTCAAGATCATCAATACTATTACTAAATGACCCATAGATTCACTTCTATTTAATATGAATAAAATCCAAATAGAATAAAAGTTCCTTGAAAACTGAAACACACACACACACACACACACACACACACACACACACACACACATCTTTGCTTTTTCTTTTTATTTTACTTAAATAACATTTTTTCATTTATTTTACATAACAACCACGGTTTCCCCTCCCTCCTCTCCTCCCTGCGCCCCCCACTCCTGTCTCCATCCAGAAAGAGACAGGCTTCCCATGGGCTTGAACAAAGATGAGGAAGGACCGAGCTCCCCTTGCGTTAAGGCTGGGTGTGGAAATTCAACTTGGGTAATAGGTTTCCAATATATATTTATTTTGAACAGCACATAGCACACTATGGTCATTTAGTAAATCTTTGTAAAGAGAGAAGGAAAGAAGGAAGGGAGGGAGAGAGGGGGAAGGGAAAAGGAAGGGTGAAAGAATAGGATTTCTATCAAATCTTACAATGCTGGATTGTAGCATCGATATTAAATTATCCTATTACATTGATAAGATTGATAATAAGGTAAGAAGGATATAATGTGATTCCCTTACCCCTGAGCCATGTAAAATGCAAATTATATCAGTGTGGCCCACACAGGGTTGCTACAAATTTTTAATAAGATGTGCTGGAGAAAGTAAAGACTTTTTTTTACATTGTCACAAAGGCAAATGTATTTCATGACTCTCTACTGATACTGATTACACGTTATTCTAACTAAAGTAACTGAAAAAAATCAATAGGAATTATAATGTACCTAGTATTGTTAGTTTTTAATTGAAAGATTTTTTTGTTCAAATAAAGTACTAACTAGTAGAAAGCGTGTAGAATAAAAAAAAGAGAGCAGAAAGCAAAGTTAAGTCTGATCAGGTTGTTTAGAAGGCAGTCTGAGCATTCAGTGGGGACAGAGAGGTTGGGGGACAATGTGGGTGAGACTGAGGACAATACCATGGTCTGGAGCACAAAGCAAGGAATAGAAGTGTCCCTTTGAGTCCTATTGATCTGGGTTCTGACTTTCTGTTCCAGTCACTTACTTTGTAACTGTTAGTTCTCCCATGTGGAAACTGTGTGGCACTTCACTGGAAGAGGGTAAGGATTTAATATGATAGCAATACAAAGCACTAGCCCTGAGCCAGCTGCATCCTGAATTCTCAGTACCAGTTCCAACATGGCTACTATTGATTCTTCCCCATAATTGGTCACATTTTGTGGTATTGTATCACGAGCACTTCACACAGTCCCAAAGTTTCATCCAAAGCACTCTGACAGTAGCAGTATTTATAGAAATACCACATTTAGTATCACAGCGGGATTTCCAGTGTCAAACATCCTTTATTCTGGAAATTTCTCGTTCTTGAAGTTATTGCCAATGAAAGTGAAAATGGGTTTCAATGACCAGTCATGGGTAAATTACAAACAAAATCACACGTAGTTTTATAGAGCATTTTCATTCTAAAATAAAAGTCTGCCCGTGTAACCTAACTTCTCCAACCTTCCACAAAACAAGTGAACTACATAATGCATAAATATTATTTATCAGCAATGCCCTGTGTATACTGAATTCTTTGGAAGAGCTACATTGACCTTGAGTGACTCTTGCACTCTCCTGTCATAGTGCTTAACTGATCAGAGGAAAAATACGTTCAGAATAGAAAAAAAAAATGAGAGTCAGATAGGATTCAGGGGACATTTCAACCCAGTTTTCTCTTACAACTCCAAAAGCGTGTTTTAATGTAATAAAGAGAACATGATGTGCTAACTTTGCATTGAGGTGTGAAGAAAGTAACTTAAATATTAAAAGTGTTACTGGGTAATCCCTGACAAGCTCCTTTATCTTCCTCTCTAAGGATGATAAGAAGAGGAAAGTAAGATATCATCTACATTTAATTCTGAGGCTGTGTTTTATTCCATTCTAGATTCTATTTTGTCTTAAGATTGACAATATCCTATAACTTCATAATGCATTTCTTCCACAGCAGTGTACCGAAACAACACTGTGGTATTGATTCATTCTACATGGTTGATAGTGTGACTGTATAATTAGAAGAGCTGTGAAGAAAGCTTTCACACTTCTGCCCTGGTTGAAGAAATAAACAGCTCTGTGGGATGAATCTTTAAAACATTAAAGGATTTAAAAATAAGTGTTATGTTTGTGATTCATGCAGCCCATATTAATTTGAGATACATTTATCATTTAGCTAAGCAGGATGATAGTTGAGTGAGCAAATGTTTCCTGCCGAATGGCTGCCTTGGTGCGATTACTGTAGGGAAGAGCGGAAGTTGGCAATGAAGATTTAAGCGAGTGATTCTCAGAGATTAGTATTCCTATGACATACCCAGACATCACCGAAGAGTCTCAAGCCAGTTCTCTTTTAATAGGCAGAGTTTTGACCTAGAATCTGCATACTGAACAAAACATGACGTTATCTGTTTCTGGTGATCTTAGTATCACACTAAGGAACACTGGCCTTCTGGGAGCCAATGAAAGCAAGGGAGAGGCAAGTGTAAGTCAGTTACTTGGCTGTAAACCTGCCTCTATTTAATCAGATGCAACTTATAAATCTTCCTATAGAGCACCTTCCTGCAAAGTTTCTTATAGCATTAAGCCATATATTTAAAACATTTACATACATCATACATATATGCACATATATGTGATATGTATACACATATATAATGTGTATATTATGATGGTTAATATTGGTCGTCAATTTGAGAGCATATAGAGTTACATGGGATACAAAACTCTGGGTATGTTTGTGAGGAAGTTTCTAGATTGGGTAATTGATCTCTGCTTCCTGACTGTGGCTGCAATGAGAACAGTTGTTTTAAGCTTGTCTTACCATGAGTTTCCTTATCGTGATTGATCATACCTCTCCTTCCTAATGATATGTTGTCAGGAGTCTGTCACCACAATGAGAAAAGTAATACACACACACATACATACATATATACCCACACATACATACGCACACATATACACACAAACATACATATACACACATATGCATAGATACATACACACACATATACACCACATACACAAGGTCAATGGTTTTCATTCTTGTTCATAGTCTGCCTGTAGAGATAAATATATATACATATGCATGCATGTATATATGTAATTTCACATTACAGTATTGAGTATAATGTCATTATCATAATTTCACATTATAGCATTGATCTATGTATAATGTGTATGTACATGCAAAATGTATGTAGAGAAATGTGTGTGTATAAAGAATATACTGATGACACAGAGACATCTAAAGATATGAGACTTGAAACTTCGATCAAAACTTGTCTAGACTAGTGAACAACACTGGCATTCTAAATAGAAAGATATGATGGGTAAGGACATTATGGAGCCCTAGCCATAACTCCAGAACTTTGGGATACTGATGGATTCTGGAGGAGGTTGATTCACTGTCTTGAGCTGTATAGACAGTGGGGGGAGCCTGTCAGGGTCAATTGGATGGTTCCATATCCATGGTCACAGAGACAGCCCTACTGGGTCATGAAAACAAAACAAAATCACATGAATATAGGAGAGGGACTTATAGGAAGGAGTGTTTTACAATGTGAAGGAAAGGTGTATAACCAAAATGTATTATATTTGAAACTGTCAAAAAAATTTAATCACTAAAATATATAAAATAAAAATAATTATGTAAAAAGTATAGGGAAAGGAATGAGAGTTCTGAGGCAGGGAACACTAATCTTGGGATCCGTGAGTCAAATAACTATTACAGATACAGTTTTATAATAACTGCAGAGAAGAAAGAAAGCTTCTAGAACACTCTACATATTCATTGTTATTATGCATATGTACAAGACAGTTTTATTCCTCAGTATATTATAGATATTATCCAGACACTGTTCTTTCATAGGAAAACAGTAAAAATGAACAAAAACAGAAAAAAAATAGAGAAATAGGAATTTAAATTATTGAGGGAATGTTTTCTGTTTCAGTCCTGACATTTAAAGAGTTTCCGTCACCATGCTAGTCCTCATAACAAGATTATTGACATATAGGAAATCAATGGCTTCTCTTGGACCCAGGAGAAACATGAGGCTGCAAGGCAAACCATCTCCCTAAGAGCTGGAGAAGCACAGGCTTAACAGAACACATCTGTGAGTTGCTTATGTGGAGCAGGAAACAAGTGTCACAAACGGGGGAGAGTTTACACAGCTATTTCAGTGAACCTGCAGAGACTGACTGTGGTACAGAATGAGATACCCTGGGACTGCAGCCTCCCCAATCTCTGTCTCTGTGGACTTTACTTCCAGGACCACAACAGTGTCTCATGTTGGAGACCCAAGAAGGCTCCCTTTCTGCCTGTGGCAGGGAAGGGGGAAGTGCAATAACCATGAAATATAATTGTAATATACACTCTGTTTCTCTACAGCAAAGGCTTATTCTCCATGTATCAAAAATGTGGGAACATTAGTTCAGTTGGGTATCAGCAGGCCCCTCACTACAGCCCTCTGTTCACTTCCTGTGTTGCATACCAGGCACAGGTCAGGTGGTCTGGACCAGGACTCATGAACACATCCTGGGAAACCTTCAGTAAGGCATCGGAGCTGGCCTGGGTTGAGCTACACTATAAAAAAGAGCACTGAAGATCAAATGCACTAACTACACGACAGAGAGATCTACTTTACTCATAGTAAGTCATAATGAAAACTATGACACGTAGAACCTCTCTGAAGATAAGCTACTTAAAGGCAAAATCAAAGGAGAGATTTTAAATTTTAAAAGAGATCAAGCGTACTGTAAGAATTTAAAGTCCTTGGCACCTGTATTATAGCACACATTAAATGTACCCCAAATTCTAGCCATAATACTTTAAATATTCCCTTTAAAAATCTATCTCAGTTAGGATACCAGAAATAGCATATCTGACTGCCCTTTCTTCCTCCCTCTCCTTCTCTCCCATCCAAGTACTAAGCAGGCTGACCCTACTTAGCTGCTTAGATGGGACAAACTTGGACATGTTCAAGGTGATATGGACATAGTCTCTCTCTGTCTCTCTCTCTCTGTCTCTCTCTCTCTCTCTCTCTCTCTCTCTCTCTCTCTCTCTCTCTCTTTCTCTCTCTCCCTCCCTCCCTCATGAGAGAGATCTTTGATCACCAAATTATAAGACACTTTAAAGAGCAGGAATATGAAACACAATATATAAAAAAAAGTCTAAACAGTACCCACTTATTACATAGATACTAGAGTTAACAAAAAAAACTTGAAATGACTAATTAAAATGCTGAGTTTTTTTGGAGGAAGTAGGCAAAGCACAAGACTAGGTAGATAATATAAACAGAGAGGCGAGAACTCTGAGAAACCATGAAATGGAAATGCTAGAAATCCAAAGCACAGCAATAGAAATGAAAAGTGCTTTCATTTCAGTAAAACAGACACAGCCCTTAAAGAGAGACTATCATTATCTTCCTCAAATCTATATGTAAAGAGAAAACAGAACAATGAAGATATAGAACAGACCATTTAGGCACTGTAGAGCAGTTTAAAAAATTATACCATATATGCCAATAAAGTCCAAGAAGGAAAATAAAGAGATCACAGAGAAAAGAAATATTGGGCTCAGTAGTAACCAAGAGACCTGAGGAGATACCTCAGTGTGTTGGTTTGATTGAAAATGGCCCCCATAGCCTCACAAGGAGTGGCTCTACTGAGAGACGTGGCCTTGTTAAAGTAGATGTGGCCTTGTTGGAGGAAGTATGTCACTCAGGGTAGACTTTGGGGTTTCAGAAGCCCAAGCCAGGCCCAGTGTCACACACTCTTCCTGCTGCCTGGCAATCTGGATGTAAAACTCGCAGCTACTTCTCCAGCACCGTGTCTGCCTGAGTGCTGCCATGCTTCCTGCCATGATGACAATGGACTACTACCCTGAAGTGTGAGCCAGCCCCAGTTAAATTATTCCCTTTAGAAGAGTTGTCATGGTCATGGTCTCTCTTCACAATAGAAACCCTAACTAAGACACTTGGTGATAAAGGGCCTGCCACTCAGGCAGGGGGAACTGGAAACCTGAACTCCAGGAGCCACATAGAATCCAGGAATATGTGGGAGCCTGCCTGTCACCTCGGTGCTCAGATTGCAGAGACAGAAGATCCACAGGGCAAGCTAGCTGTTTAGACTTGCTAATCTAGTAAGCTCTGAGTTCAGAGAGAGATGATGCTTCAGTAAATAAAATGGAGAACAAACAATTAAGGAATACACTTGATCATTCCTGCCCTCCACATGTATGCACCCTTGTATGTGTACACAGTTTCATGCATGTGGAACTATACAAATGCAAAAACACACATGATAACATATGCAAGCAGACCACACACACACACACACACACACACACACACACACACACACACACACACACATTAGTGGCCAAAAATGTTCCAAAATTAGTAAGAAAGCACAAAGTACAAATCTAAAGAGCCCAGAAAAAAATACTCAGGATAAAAATAAAATCATGAGCAACCATAAGGCTAGATATCCATATTGTTTCACATTGCTGGAAACCAAACACTAGATGAAGTTCTCAGTGAGACTGTGGAAGAAAAGTGCCATGTCTGCAGGAATAAAGATGAGAAAATGTAGATTTCTGATCAGAAGCTGTGTGAGAAAGAAGTGAGCTCAGGGGAAAAAAAGATAGTTCAGCAAGCACACATCTTGTACCAAGGATAACTGTCCTTCCGAAGTGAATGAGAAATATTTCTCACATAGAGGAACTCATCATGAGCAGCCTCACTCTCAGTGGCTACTGGAGGTTGTTTTCTAGGAAAAGGAAATGAAAAAAGTCAGAAACTTAGATCCATATCAACAAAGAAAGCGTACCAATGAAGGAAGACATACAATGTGACTTCATTATTATTCTTACAATATCCAAAATACCATTATTGAGTAAGCCGTCATATCAATTCATTGAGCGACCTTAGCATGTAGACATGTTGCTGCAGGCAAGAACTGGGAACAGGATTCATATAAAATTCTCAGTTAAAGCCAGGCAAGGCCAATCGAAAGGACCAAATTAAACAAGAAAAAATAGAATATAGTTAAAATTACTCCAACTAAATCAATAACCATTTAATATGTGAATGATTTAGAGGACTATACAACAGATTTTGTTAAGGGACAAAAAAAATACAAAGCCCATCTATATGTTGTTCACCAAAATCTAAATGTAATGATTCAAATAATTTTAGTACTGGGAAAAGAAAAAATGTGTCATGCTAACTGTGTTATAAGAAAACTTGAATGCCTATGTATTTCACAAAGACTTAAATAAAACTATCAATGATAAAGAGTCACATCATAGGACAATAAAGATGCAGTGTAAAAGAATAACAGCCTTCATTAAAAATATACCTAATCACACAGCATCAAAATTTGGTGTCAGCTGGGCGTTGGTGGCGCACGCCTTTAATCCCAGCACTCGGGAGGCAGAGCCAGGCGGATCTCTGTGAGTTCGAGGCCAGCCTGGGCTACCAAGTGAGCTCCAGGAAAGGCGCAAAGCTACACAGAGAAACACTGTCTCAAAAAACCAAAAAACAAAAACAAAAAAAAATTTGGTGTCTATGGAAATAGCTCATGAAGGAAATTATACCTCTCAAGCATGACGACATGGGTTTAGATCCCCAGTATCCACATAAACAAAATGTCAGGTATGGTTGAACTCAAATATATAGTAATAAATAGGGATAGTTGGGAGATAGGTAGACCACAGAGCTCACTAACTAGTTACTCAACACCACTGGTGAGCACAAAGTTTAGGGAGAAACCCTAACTGAGGGCTGGTGAGAGGCTCAGTATATAGAGGAGCTTGCTGCCAAGCCTGAGTTTGAACTCCAGGAACCATAGGGTAGAAGTTGTCCTCTGATCTCTACACACACACAATATGACATACACACATGCAAAATAAAAAAAAAGAATGTACTGTTTAGGAGAATTGTGATTGAGGAACACATCTTATATCAACTTCTGGTGTTTACATAAACATGCATCCTCACCACACATGTACACACATACAGAAATCACATAAACACACAAGATTAGGTAGATGGAGCAGCTACAGCTTGGTGGTGTTGACTCTAAGTTACTCTATATTGTATAGAATGGTTTCTTCAGTCTGTGTATTTCCCAGAGAGATTCTAGTTTACAAGCCATTTTATCTTTATTTTGAGTAAGAAGGATGGATACAGGCTCTGGGTGGATCCAGAAACTATACTATCCACCAGGCTCCACCCATCCTGTTCAGACTGATAAATGACTTACCCCTTGAATATAAAAGGAACTTCTCTGTACACTTATTAGGGAGAATTGAACAGTAGGGCACATGGGTACACTAAAGTATTATCAAGGAAACCAGACCCAAGAATTTATCAAGACAAGCCAGATTGAGGAAAGGGTGTAAACCCTTTACATGGACCCAATAAAACGAGAGACAACCAACTGTGATGGCACAGACCCATACCAACCTATTATCTGACAGCTGGTGTGTGTGTCAAGGACTGGCTTTCTGTCTTAGCTTGGTCCTCCCCTGTTGATACAGCCTCCTCAGGAGTCTGCCCATTTACCTATTTGCCTGTCTGGTCCAGCATCAAACCTGATTCCAACAGCTACCTCTCAGCACTGGTTTCATTTATTGTCTTACCTATGTACTCTTTCTTGGCCCACTTCTGAGAACTTTCTAACTCTCCTACAGTTGCACTCTAACTTCCTCTCATTCTGTAAGCCATACATATGTACCTATATTACATATATGTGGATAATACATAATTAACTATATATATATATATATATATATATATATATATATATATATATATATATATTTGTATATACACATGCATATATATAAAGTTACTTTGTGTTGTGTGATGTACTAATATTAGTAATTAAGGTAGGGATGAGGAACCTTCTCTGGCTGCAGTTAAGCTACCGAGGTAGATGAATTTTATGTCAAATTTCTGTCACTGAACCTGCTAAACCTTGTGAATTCATTGTTACTCAATTAATTGTGAGGCTGTAGAAGGACACAATGTGCTCATCTGTGTTTCTAGCCTAACACACCATGACACTGGGCAATAGTCAAAACAGGGAAAGGCTTCATTTTCTTCATTAGAGTAACAAGAATCAAAAAGTAGCAAAAAGAAGTGAGAAGTAGCATTTTTAGATTTCCATAAAAGTGGGGAAGAAACTCTTGCTAATAACAGTGAAACTTTGTCACATTTTAATTTGGCCTTGTCTTGTTGCTTCTCTCTAGATAGGCGGTGGACTCAAAACTTAATAGCCCAAATTCCCGGTGCCATTTGGAAGTCATCTAATGGTGACTTCTAAGTCTTTGTTTTTTTTTTTCCAAGTCTCCTTTTAAGTATTATTCCAAAAGAATTGTTTTTTAAACCTGTCTAGCACGTCCCTGAAAGAACCTGGTTGCAAGACTGTTTATTACTGGCCTGACATAGAACAAGCCCAGTGTAAAAAGACTTTTTCTCTAGAGGTGCTTGTGGAAAACAATTATAACAAACATGTTAACCTCATAGCTGTCGGAAGCGGTCAGTAATGTTTAGGGGAAACAATCCACTGGCTGGA